AGAGAGAGAGAGAGAGAGCACGCCCTCAGCCTGCGATCTCCTTCTCCGAGGCTTTGCTACCCAGCTCCTTGTGTGCGGTCTCTGCCACGGCGGATAGACCAGCCAGGAGACCCTCCAGGGCTCCTTGGGCTTTGCCCTGTGCGGCTCCACCTCCCTTCAGGTAAGTGGCCGTGGCACCTTTGATAGCACCACAGGCGGTGTGCCCCAGCACGAGCACGAGTCGCGTCTTCAGCGCGGCTGTGCAGAACTCCAGGCTACCAACGATGCTTCCCCTCGCTTGGGTCACCGTGTTTCCTGCATTTCGCATGACGAAGACATCGCCCGGCAGCACATCGAAAACCAGCTCCAGCGGCACACGCGAGTCCGCGCAGCCCACGATGGCCGTGTGCGGGGCTTGGCCAATGGTCGCCAGTGCCTTTCTCATCTGCCCGTCAAACTTGCCGGCCAAGGTGTTGCCGTGGGCGAAGCGCTCGTTGCCCTCCTTCATGATCTTGAGCGCTGCCTCAGGGGCCATCGGTGGGTCCTGCGGCGTCCGCACGAATGCACCGCCCAAAGCCAAGTCCATGGAGGGAGGCAACGAGGACTTGGAGCTCGCAAGGAGAGCTCCGTGTTGCGGAGATCGGCCCAAGAACTCCACCTTGCCAGTCTCCAGGTCGTAGATGCCTCCTTGCAGATCAACTTTCCCGCTGCTCACTGCATCACGAAGTGGCTGACTGAACTTCAGAAGGAAGTCCATGGTTTGGAAGACATTCACCTTCACGGCATAGGCAGCGATCTCCTCCACGGAGGCACCCTTCCCCAGTTTTGTCGACGCCTTTTCCGCCACACCGGCGAGGTCGGTCAAGAGCCCTTCCAAGGCGCTGCCTGGAGATCCCTTCTCGCCTTTGCCATCCTTCATCGCAAGGTAGGTCTGCGTGGCACCGACAATGGCGCCGCACTTCGTGTGCCCGAGCACCATGACCAGTCGAGAGCCCAGCTTGCCAGTGCAGAACTCCAAGCTGCCAACCATGGAACCTTCGGCGTGAGTGCAAGTGTTGCCCGCATTGCGGAGAACGAATATCTCACCTGGCATGGCGTCGAAGACTGTCTCGATGGGTGCCCGGGAGTCAGCACAGCCAATGATGGCCTGAGTTACCAAGTGTGTGACATGAAAGCAGGGAAAACAGACAGCGACCAAACCTGAGCGAGTGGCAGTGTGCGGCGCCTGCCCTGACTTCACCAGGGCCGTTTTCATCTTCGCGCTCGCTGCCACGCTGGCGGGTGTGCCTGCGACGAATCGATCGTTGCCGTCCTTGAGCATCTCCAGCGCCTTCTCCGGCGGCACGGAGGTGTCGTCGCCGGTGCGCACGCCGTGGATGCCACGCTTGGCCGCACCTGCCCTGCTGATCCCGAGCATTGAGGGGGGCAGGGCCGCCGAAGCCTCGCTCAAGAGCTCGGCTTGTTTGGGGGATCGGCCCAGGAACTGCACCAAACCCGTCGCCAAGTCGTAGACGCCGCCCTGGATCTCAACCAGCCCGGCCTTCACCGCCTCGCGGAGACCCCGGGAGTACTGCAGCAGGAAGTTCATGGTGTGGAAAACGTTCACCTTCACTGCGTGGGCTGCCACGAAGTCCTCGTCCGCCATGGGACCCATGTCGTACTCTGCCTGCTCTGCCACTTCACCCAAACCTTCCAGCAAGCCCTCCAGTGCACTCTGGGACTCTGCAGCCTGCTTCTTGCGGGCAAAGTGCGCCTTCGTGGCGCCGTAGATGGCTCCGCACTTGGTGTGGCCAAGGACCATCACAAGCCGTGCCCCCAGTTTGCCTGTGCAGAACTCCAGGCTCCCGATCATGCTGCCTTCAGCATGGGTACAGGTGTTGCCAGCGTTTCGGAGGACGAAGATGTCGCCAGGCAGCGCGTCAAAGATCACTTCCACGGGGGCACGGGAATCTGCGCAGCCCACAACGGCCGTGTGCGGTGCTTGGCCATCATCCACAAGCTCCATTCGCTGGCCGTCGCTTGTAGTGGTTGCCTGGGGTGTGCCCTTCACAAAGCGCTGGTTTCCTGCACGGAGCATCTGCATCGCCTCGCCCGGTGACACGGAAGCGGACTTCGTCGTGCGCACCTTGAGACCTGAATCTGCCACCTTCACCTTGGCTGCAGCTTCATCTTCGGGTCGGGGTGTCCCAAGCATCTCTAGGTTGCTAAGTTGCACTACTAGTAAGTATGCTTTGAGCCTCTGCCAAAACGGCTGCGGTCCGGAAGCGCGTCGTCGCCCCTCTCCAGAGGCCATCCTTTCCCGAAGTTCGCTCGGCCGGCGACCCCAGATGTCCAGGCAGTTCCTCGGCGGCTGCGCCCATGACCCCTAAGCCTAACGTGGGGGGGGGTCGCTCTTTGGGCACAGGGCTTTGCTTCCACGCTCCAGAGGTAGGAGGTGGCACACTCCAAGCCTGTGATCAGATGCGCAACGAGCTTTCTGCCATCCGACAAGCTCCGATCTCCCCATCAGTCCACCTGCTGTGAAGTAGGTGACGGTGGTGGACGACACCTGCTCTCAAGCACGAGCTGCCAGGGTGCACTGTGAAGCCGCGATTGCCTCTGTTCCGGTGGCTGCCCCATCACGAAGGATGCGGTACCGAATCCTTGCCCGAAAGAGGCTTTCTGAAGGTTTGCACAACCCAAGTCCGCTCTTTCCAGCCGGGCGCATGGCACTGGACAGCCGCCATCGTCCTGAAACTGACAAGTAGCCCGACGCTTCCCAAGATTGGATGCCAATGACAATGGTGCCTCTGGAACAGACCATTTGAAGCTAATGGAACCACCGGTGCACGAGGAGGTCTGGAGCGCGGGCCTCATATCCATCTTCCCCTCCCCTTCTGAGTCTCAGACACGTCCTTTCTTGGGCCGCCGGCTGGCCCACGGGGCTTGGCATAGAGGCGGACAGGAACCGCTGAACCTGGCTGGCTGGCCCCTCTCCGGCGGCGTTGCGAGCAGCGATGGAGAAGGAGTAGTAGCCTTGGATCTCGCATGTTTCGGCATGTTCTGGCATGCTTTTTGTTGTCGGGGACGACACTTCAAATCTCGAAAAAACAGAGACCATAGCAGTCGTATAACCGGGAACCATAGCAATAATTAATCACAGTAGCATTTAATAGCCGTAGCCGTAGTACATCGCGACTGGTACTGGGTTAGAATCATAAAACATCTCGCAAAGGTCTTGGCATGACGAGAGTGACAACAGTAGCAGCTCCGCTGGAGGGTCCGTGTAGTTGCCACGTGGCCAGCAAAAGACGATGCAAGCCGTGCACAGACGCCAAAGAAAGGCATTCATTGCTATTGGGTACTGAGCGCCTAACTCACACTTCTCGATTCGTGCGGTTCATTGGAAAGCGGAAGTTGAGGATGAGCATCCCCACTGCCCTCTTAAGCCCTTAAGCTAAAGAGCACCTCCAGGCTCTTGGCAGAACCACATCTCGAACACAGCTTCACATTGCTGTGATCTTGTCTAGGGCGCCGCAATATCGGCGTAACAGTCGGATAGAGTAGCGACAATCAGTGTGATATTGTGTATTCGCACTACAGTAGTAACCTGTAGCGAAGTAGCACCACGAATCATGATCAAAACAACAGTTGAAAAAATGAACTTTGAATGCAGATGCATGCAGATGCCTCCCACAGCCCGGGCCAGGACCCTGCCGGCCTTCCATTGCCTTTTGCGACTTTCGCGCTTTGTTCACCAAGTTCACCAAGTTTCGCAACCGTTTTGGAATGATTTCATGAATGTTGAAGCCCTGCACTGGCGGTGGCGGTGGCGGCAGTGCTGTTGGTGCTGGTGGCGTTGGTGGTGAATACTGCTTTATGCTCTTGACCTGGATGTCGACGTCGTCCGTACCGGTGTCGAGGAGATGGGTGTGGCGCCGTCGGCACGGCGCTTCAAAAAAACGACACTTCTGTCGTGACTGCTCCGAGTGCTCGCAATCCAAGAAGCGTCCCGTCGCCAGGTCTGCACTCGTGAAGATCGTCGCAGCACCACCTTGGGAGTATAGCGGCGTCCCGGCAGCTGCGACGCGGCAGGAGACTGAGGCTGGCACGGTAGATGGGCGTAAGCGTAGAGCCAAGCCCATCGTCCCTTCTCAGGATGAACCTCAGAGCACGTGACTTCAACAAGGCCCGCCGTCGAGCTTCTTGGCTGTGGGCTGGTAAACGTCTGCCCCATTCGCTGCTGGCGTTGTCCACGACACGGTGATCTCAGATTTCGACCTCGGGACACTGCATCACTGTGAGGGAAACCTTGGAAGCATTTTGTAGCTCTGAAGCCCTCGCTGCGACACCAGCGTCACGGCTGCCGGTTGGTCTGGCAAGCCTTCCCATCCCGACAGATCCAACACATGGTCCAAGACCCCTTTCACGAGACCTGCTGCCACGAAGGTTGCGAGGTTGCTGAAGTCACTGGCCGACTGCTCGTGGTGCATGCGGATCCTAAATCGAAGTGGGTCGGAGCGCACAGACACTCCAAGCACTGCCGGGGCTAGGGCCGGTAGCGGTAGGTCAAACCGGCTGTGACCGAGGTGTCCTTTTCGATGCAGGCAAAGGAAGAGGCAGAGACAGAGAGAGTGCTGATGCTTTTTGTCCCAAGGCTGGGCGTCGCATCACTTGCCGCCAGAGGCTCCGAGTACGTCAAGTCCGGCGCATCCACCTCTGCGAGCAGGGAGAAGACTCCGTCCTGAACGAGCGCCACAGCTCCAACGGCTCCAACGGCCACCTGCGCACCTGGACCTGACATGACCTAGAGAGATGATTCGCAGCGCACGGCCTCTGTCTGATCTCCGTGCGAGGTGAAACATTGCATAAGGCGTTTAAAACATGCGGAACAGTGTTCCCACGCCGCTCCGAATCTTATCGATCTACCAAACATCGCTTGGGTCACCGGTCCGCTTGGCGGCGCCGATCAGCAGCTGCAGTTGGCCATCCACCTCCCAGGCCACGTCTGGCTGCTGCGCCACCAAGCGCAATGGCACCCCGCGGCCGCCGGCCCCCTCGGCCCCCTCCTCTGCCGCGGCCGTCCGCGCCGGTTCCGCGCGCTCCACGCCCGCACTTGACGCCACGGCCTGCTCCGCCCAAGCGGAGGGCGGGGGGATCGCGAAGCCATAAGGATCCATCGCCGCCGGGAGCGCTTGCAGCAGCAAGTGCGCGGCCTGCGGGAAGAGAGTGGAACCGAAGAGGCGATTCTCAGGCGGCCGCGGCCTCGTCCAGAGAGTCCTCGGAGGCATCGCCGGCAGCGACACGCTTCGCCAGGATCTCCTCGGTGCACGGAGCACGGAGTGAGCTCCTCTGCAAGTAGTGGGTCCTATACGCCGGGCCCCGGCACTCTTCTCTCGGCCGAGGTACTGCCTCAAAGTCCACGGACTGCGGTATCCGGCCGTCCTCCGTCCCACAAGCACATTTGAGTTTTTGTGTTTGGCTGCTGGGAGCTTCTAAAAATGCACAGGAGGATGCAGGCTGAGCGGCCGGTCTGCCATAGGCTCCTGTCAGGAGAAGACACAGAGGCAGAGGGCGGGAGGGGAGCCCACTCTCTCTGCGACATTCCCTGCTCAGGTCGGCGCCGGGGGCTTTGGAGACGGAAGGTCGCACAGGGCTGTCGGTCGGAAGGTCCTCTGACAAAGCGGCGAGTCAGATGAAGAAATTCGCGAGGGGTCAGCGCTCAAGCAGAGCTCCTGGGCGGAGATTCCGGACACGGGACCTCACTTAACAGAACCAAGGGAAAGGGAATAAAGGCGAAGTCACCCCAAAAATCGCCTTGGGGGCCCGGGCTGCTCTCGGCCTTGGTGGGGCCTTGGCCCTTCCCCCGCGCGGCCGGCGCCTGTGCGAAGCCGCCGCCTTCCAGCTGCGCCAGGGCCGACGGCATCCTTGCAAGGGGAGCCTCCGAAACACTTCGAATTCGAATTCGGATGCATCACGCTGCGGCCCCCTGCTGCCCCTGCGCCTGCCGTGGCCAGGCCGGTTGCGAGCACAGAGGTCGTCTAAGCCGTGCCCGCTTCTTTGTTGCACGTCAGAAGAGCGATGTAAGGGATGGGAATTGATGAGAAGGGGACTTGGGAGTTTTGCATCTCTGACGGCTCTTGCCTTCTAGTCTTATAGTGCCGTGCTCACTCTGTGTAGACTCATGGCGTGTCCTGGAAAAACGGCCTCGAACAGACGTTGGGCATGGGCTTGTATGCACAACGCCAGAAGATCTCGGCCCTCTAAGCAGGTACTCCAAACCTGGCCATCGTCGCGCTGGATCTCCGTCTTCAGGATAGGCATGCCACCGTTGTCTGAGGGAAAGGCTTGGAGGCGCGAACTAGTCCCTGCACCCTCTACTGGACTGCTGTCGCGCCTGGCGGTGTCCACGTAAGGTTGATCATAGGCGGCACGGCGGAGGTGGCGGTGGCCAGCGGCGGCTCGGGCTGGTCTGGAGCGGCTGCTGCAGTGAGGGGCCCGAAGATGACCCCGCTCCGGCAGCCGCGCTTGTTGCAGGAGGCAACGAAGAAGTTGTACCTGCGGCCTGTCACCAATCCCGTGTACTTGTACTCGTTGCCCGATTCCGAAAGGTCGGTGTCCATCTCGAAGTAGTTCGTTGGGAGCACGTCGACACGGACGAAGTCACCTCCCAAGCCATCGTCGCGGTAGGGTTCGAAGCTGGTGACCGGGCTCCCACCGTCCCCTGGCGGCGGATCGAAGCGGAATGTCACACTCGTCCGTGCCTGAACCACCTTTTCTAATGTCACGGTGTCCGGTACATCGGTGGTGGTGAAGAGCGCAATGCCACTCCGAGCTCCCGGCAAGGTGCAATCGCCGTCGTTCACGCAAATGCCATCCGCATCGTACTCGTGCAGCGAGTTCCCTGCACCATAAGGGCAGTCGGCGTGAGCCTGCACCTGGATAAGATAGTCCCGGCCCAGAAGCAAGTCAGGCACATCAAATTGCGTGCGGGACATGTCACAAACAGAGACTTGCGTGCTCAGGAGGCCATTCACCGTGCCGTCGTTTCGGTAGATCACGTAGCGGACGATAGGAGAACCTCCATCTGAAGGCGGGGGATCCAGTCCAATGGTGATTGATCCGAAGCCCGCGGTGACGAACCTCGGTTGCAGCGGCGCGGCCGGCGGCTCGGCCGCCAGGAAGGTGGAGATGTTGGTCCTGGAGCCTTCGCCCACGCTGCTCACGGAGGTGACCTGATACCAGTAGCGCCTGCCCGGCACCAGCCCAGTGTGCTTGAAGGATCTGATCGATGGGCTGCCGGAGCCATCGAAGACCATCGCGAGCGCATCATCGATGCCAGTGTTGGCATAGACCCGGTACCCAATAACAAGGGCGCCGCCAGTCTCCGCTGCATCCGTCACAGGCGACCAGTGCACCTCGATGGCTGTCTTGCTGATTGGGGGGTCGTCGCGGGTCACCGAGGTGGGCGGATTCGGGAGATCGGCTGCCGTTGCTACCAGGTAGGGCGACACGTCCGCGAAGTTGTCGTCCTCGACACCGTTGATGGCCAGCACTCGATACTTGCACCGTCGCTGGGGACAGATGAAGGCCGTCGAATCGAGACAGGAGTCGAAATCCTCCGGCAGCGTCGTGAGGAAGCTTCCGTCGGGCTGCTCGCACTGCACCGTGCCGAAGAAGTAGACGTCGTTGTTGGAGCGCTGTACCTTGTAGCCAGAGATGGGCATGCCACCGTTGTTCGTAGGAGGCATCCATTGGATTTCCTGAGAACTTGGGAGCAGAACAGCAGAAGCAACAGCAGAAGCAACAGCAGAAGCAAGAGCAGCAGCTACACGTAGCCACACATACGAGTAGGGGCAGCAGATGCCGTCCGAGCTGCTACGGTGGAGAGTGTCGTCGACTTCAGCGTCGGCTGTGCCGGAGGGTACGGGCGCCTGCGTGCGAAGCTGCGAAGCGGATCGGAACACTTCCCCCCTTTGCGGGTCTGAAAGGGCCCCAAGGCATGCTGCGGCCTGGCACAGAACCGTGGCAGGGAAGCAGAAAAGCCTGATTCCCCCGCATCGCTGATGGCCGTCGCACGGAAGTCGTGCATGTTGCCTTAGAAGACGGTGTGAAGAGCCAGTGTCAAGCCAGGAAGAGCATTCTCTGCCAAGATGCCTGTGGTGCACCCGGCCAGCGTGAAGGTGCGGACGGTGCTCACCCCCGCCCCGTCGTACTTGAGGACGTTGTCGACCTGAGTCAGAAAGAATGGCGCTGGAGAGAGGAACACAGGCAACGTGCTAGCCGGGCCGGGCCCCCGCACGTACAAACGGAAGCCGGTGACCGTGAGGTCGGAGGCTGGGATGTCCCAGGCGACGGTGATCGTCGTCTCTGTCGACGTTACGAAGCTGACGGTGGGCGCCGTGGGCACTGCAGCGGCGGGGATCGAGGACTCGGGGGAGAAGAAGGTCTCGCCCACGGAGACCAAGTTGAAGGCGGAGACGCGATAGATGTAAAAGGACCTCAGCTCAGCTCTGGCCAACAACACGACACGACAGTTACGGCTTTTCTGGTTCTGGCCGAAGGGCCGGGCCACCAGCTGAAAGGTGTCGACGTAGGTCGTGGAGGTGTAGCTGTCGGAGGCCGCCGTCAGGGAGATCCACTGCGCCGTCGGAGAGCTCTTCCTCTCAACGATGTAGCCCAGGATGGGTGAGCCTCCATTGTAGGGTGCCGCCCAGGAAATGTGAACGGCCGTCGCGGAGGTGGCTGCCCTGACAGACATGAACACATGAACACGACATGAGCCAAAAGCAAACAAAAGGACATCCTGCACTCCCTTCTGCCTGTCCACACCCGGTCGGCCAGGCGCATCCGGCTTGGAGGCCGCCACGATGGAGAAGATGTTGGATCTGGCGCCGTCGCCTGTGGGGTTCACGCTCTGCACCTGGAAGCGGTAGGTGTGACCCGCCAGCAGCGCCACGGTTCCATCCGAGAAGACTGGGGCCCAGGAATACGACAAAGTTGCGGCCTTCGTGCCTCCGTCCCAGATCAAGTTGTTGATGCCCCCACCATTGCCATCATCTACCCAGACCTTGTAACCACTCATGCCCGAGGCACCCGTGAGCAAAGGCTTCTTCCATTGCAAGTCGATGCGGTAGGAAGACTGAAACGTCGCCTCCACGTCGAAAGGCTGCCCGGCCACGTCCGAGGCCGTCAATGTGATCCTCTCGCTCCTGGGACCCTCGCCAGCAGCGTTCACAGCTGCGACGGCAAAGCGGTAGGGGTTGCCGGGAGTCAAAAACTCAAAGAACTCCGTGATGGTGGTGCCTGAGGCGGTGTTCTTGGAAATCTCCGTGTATCCGTCATCCATGTAGAGACGGTAATAGATCAGAGACGAAGTGCCGATGTCCTCGGACATGGGACAGGTTGGGGAGGCTCATGCATGATACGAGCTATGCAGAAGAGCTACGGTGACAGCATCCCAGGCAAGGGAGATCTTCTCGTTGCTTTGGTCTCCTGCACGGCATCTCAATTTCGGCCCTGTTTCGGCTTCGCAAGCTCCACAAGCTCCCGGCCCCCGGCCTGAGCGCCGGAGGTTCAGAGGCGGGGAGCCCGGCTTCCGGAACTCGCAGCAGACAACCGCCGTGACGTCGCTGAGGGGACTCTGCCCGATGCGGCTCCAGTAGGAGGTTTGGAACAAGTACCTCAGCTCCAGCCACTCAAAAGCTCAGTTCACGTCTGACGTGAAGATGGCTCTGAAAAACGCCGCCTTCTCCCCGCTGACAAGCCGCTGCCTTCCCTCCACGAGGCCACCGATCATCAGTTCCACCATGGACGTGCCATCCATGTCTCCCTCGTACGTGAAGCGCAGGACCCCGCCAAGACCATCATTGCGGTAGAGCGTGTAGCCTGGCGAGGCACGGAGGGCAAAGACCCTACAAGACCCTATCTAAAGCGTCCACTCTGCGGTCCAGTCGCGAATGGTGGGAGACCAACCAGAGGCGGCGCCCGTCAGAGGCGTGAAGCGGAAGGTCATGCTGCCCGAGGCCGTGTTGATGAGCAACGCAGGGTCCGGCCTTTACAACACGCAGACGTATGCAGCACACAGACGCATGCTTCCTCCTGCATCTTCGAAGATCTGCTGCATCCTTTCTGCCCGGGGCCGGGGCTTGATTGGGGGCACGGAGGGCTGCGCGGAGATGGTCACCGGCTCGCCATCATCGCCGTTCACGGCCATGAGCCTGAAGGCAGCGAGAGAACGAGCAATTCCAGGCGCGAGGATCGCATGCGCGCGCATGGCGCAGACGTTGAGAGGCTCTAGAAGGCTCTTCGAAGCTTACGACGTGCCACCTCTCATGGGGAGAGTCCTCTCTGGGCCATCAAAGGCTTTCGAGCCTCCAAGAGAGCTCGCGGCTTCCCCTGGTGAAGCCCCGGGCCCCTCCCCCACCCAATACGGAAGGTGTCTGCAGAATCTTGGGGCAGGCATAGAAGGAAAGCATGGCTTGGCAGTTCAAAATCCTGGGTGCTTCGGGAATGTTGCCGTCGCTGCACAGCACAAGAGCAAGCTTCTGAATGTTGCGTGCCTGTAGTAGTAGACCAGACCCGTCACGAGCCCCGAATCCGTGTAGGAGAAGGTGTTCTCATCCGTGGTGGCCATCAGGTTGTCGATGGCCCCACCCATGCCGTTGTCCCGGTAGAGCCGGTATCCCAGGATGGGCTTGGCACTGCTGTCTTGCGGCGGAACCCAGGACCTGAGGCTCGGGCAGTCGCCAAAACTCCTAAAACCCTCAAAGCAGTTTGCGTTCAGAAGGGAGGAAGAAGGGACTCCCTGACTGCTCAAAGAGAGTGGCAGCTGGTTGACGTCGTACTGGAAGTCGTGGTGGTAGAAGGCCTCGACGGGTCCTGCGGACGCAACATTGGCGCTTCCAGCCCCTTCAAGGGGAAGCTTCGAGACATGAAATTCCGGTCCTGGCTTGTCGTAGACCAGGACGGTCTGGGGAAAGAGCCCCAGCCTGCTCCGGGAGTGGAACCAGCTGTCCTTGCCGATCACCTCCCGGACCAGGCCCTGGTCCGAGGACCACTCCAGGCGCATTCGAGCAAAGCCCGTGCGTTCGTAATACATCACCTGCCCAGGGCCGCGGGCCCACAACTCACTGCGCTCTAACTGCGCTAGCTTGCGCTCCTTCGCTGTAATTCACGCCGCTTGCCCGCCTGGATGTGGTAGAGCCTGTCCCCGGTCAGCAAGATGGGCCGGGTCTGGAACTGGCCGGCTTCGTCTTGGCTCAGAATCAGCTCGTCGTCCATCCACATCTTGGCACCGTCGTCAGCCGTGATGTAGAAGGTGTAGTTCGCAGGCGTGAGGACTTGTAGGTATCCGTCGAACTGCGCAGAGGCGTAGTCGGAGGATTCCGCAGTCACCAGACCCTCACCCCAGTTGAAGTCGATGGCCGTGTCAACCTGTGAGATGGCCGGGACGCCCTCCACCCAGCGGTTGTTGAAGTACCGGGCATTGATGCCCCCCTTGTTCAAAGCGTAGCAGTAGACCTTGTGAAGGCCCGTGGTGTCCAGCTTCAGGTTCACTCGGAAGAGCCCAGCACCGTTCCTTCAAGCACAGGGCGCCAGGGCCTTAGCCTCCCAGCAACCAGTCAAGCCATCACGCCCTGCCTCACAATGTCCAGCGGCGGACGGAAGGGGGGCGTCCGCTGCTCCGGACCTGCCGCAATGCGAAGGCAGAGCCGAAGCCAAGCACAGCGAAAGCGGAAGCAGCAGCGGGCCATCGGCTTCGCAGATCATGAAGTTGTTGCCTCGGGCGATTGTTGAAAGTTTTCATGGACGACAACATCTAGACAGGACGTGAATGAATGGGACCAAGGGGCCCTCATCTGGCACATCGTTTCCAAACTCGTCTCGTACTTGGAAGATCACACTGTTGTCTGTGCTTTTTCGAATCTCTGGGAAGAAAGTGGTGAAGGCATAGATGTAGTTGACCTGGAGCTTCACTCATGACACCTCTGCCCTGTGCCCTGCCAGGCCCTGCCCCTGCCGTCTTCTAAGGGGTAGCACCCCGGCTGTGGAGTCGATCGGCTTCGGGTTGATCACGAGCCTCGCACCGCCAGCAACAGCCAGCCAAGAGGGCAATCCTTTCCCGGTCCGAGTCCGAGGGACGGAAAAGTGTGCGGAGACACGGGGTTCACCGGCTGCCCGTTCACCCGCAGGACCACGTTGAAGGTCTGGGCCTCCGTGCGCAGCTGCAGCGACGTGCTGCGGCGTGCTGCGACGTGCTGCGACGTGCGAGGTGAGGTGCGGCTCTTGGCCCTCCGGACTCCTCTCCGCTCCCCTGGCCTCCGTGATCAGGTAGGAGCACCGGTACCTCAAACAGAAGAAGCGCAGATGGGCAGAAGAGAGGCCGAGAGGTGCGGCGCGTCTACTCTGGAGCAAGACACTCTCGGTTGGGCTGGGCCCGGAACACGCCGAGGCCCTGATCCGCGCAGTTCATCCGGCTGTCGTCCAGTGTCACCTGGGCCCAGGCATGCAAGGCACAGACGACCCAGCTGCAGACTCGGTGGGCCCCCGCAGGCTCTCCAATGGAGGTGCCCCTGCGAGCACAGGCAGCTCATCCGCACATCCGAGAAACAAGGGCGTTTCGCCCATGAACGGAGGCCTGTGATTGAGCTGCGCATCGCGTAGGGTCACGTAGAAGATGCCCTGCGTGAAGGGTTGCTGAAGCACAGCGGAGCCCGGAGCACTCCCGGAAACCCGCTGGCCTCCACGCCGGCTTCTGCAAACTGCAGGCCGGTCCCGGTGATCAGGCTGTGCACCTCGCGAAGGCGAAGACGTCTGTGAGAAAAAAAAAAAAGGGCAGAAGCGGTCAGCTGCTTGTCCCTCTCTTGAAGCTCGCGGCTCCATGGGGCGCGGACGGCACTCGTGGGGCCCGGCTCCACTCGTGTGGTGAACGGGGAGCCCACGATGTCGATGCCTGGAGAGAGAACTCCGCAAGAGCTAACTGCAGGCCAGAGAAGAGACGACGGTGCGAAGCTGAAGCGAAAGAGGGGGCGGGGCGCAGGGCGGCCTGAAACTTTGCTTCTCCCCTGCAATTAAGCGAATCAGAGACACCGCCCCGGACGGGATGGAGTCGAGAAGAGACGATGCCTGTCTTAAGCATCCTCTCTCCCTCTACACGCATCCAAAAACCTACAAGTGCCGTCTATGGTATGATTCTGTACCTGTACACAAGGGCCTTGCCTGTCTTTGGGCATGGCCCCACGGCTCATCGTCTTAGGCCTCCCGGCTGAGGGACCGGACCAGTGCAGGCGGGTTGGAGGCGGGGCCGCTGTAGGAATTCAGGACCTCGGAGTCCATGTCGTTCCTCGGAGGAGAGCCGCGGCTTGCTTCGGGGACCCTGAAGAAGCTGTTTCGCAGCGTTTCGAAGCTTTTTGCTGGCCTTTCTACACTGTATTCGTACGACGCCTCCAAGCTGCTGCTCCTCCCAGACGACGTCTGAAACTTTGCGCCCCACCAAGGGCTCTTGCAAGGCCTCCCCTGCCAGCGATGTGATGAGGGATACGACTGAAGGGGGGGGGGGCGGGGGACACGGAAAGCGCCTGGCAGTGGTGGGAGGTTGCGGAAGCAACCACACAGGCTGCAGAAGCTCAACGCCTGCAACAGACGACAGTGCGGGAGGCTCCAAGGCAGAGCGAGCAAGATCCGGCCTGCAAAGCGCAGTAGGCCGCTATCTGCCAGCTCAAGCTGGGGTGCCAGCCCGAGAAGACCTCTGATGAACTCTGTCACACACGACACCCCCTAGGTTATCATTCTGTCTGGTGCAGCCGAAGAGCCAAATAGTAGAGGAAGGAAATGGAAAGGATGCCGGAAGGGACGGACACCAGCTTGTCCTTTCCAGCAGAGCTAGGCGGCCCATCGTCGAAACAGAGTCAGGGCACTCCTGGTTTCCGTTGGCCACATTCACCTCGGAGGCATGGAAAGTACGGGCGACAAGCTGCGGGTAAGCAAAGACTTCGAGGACTTGGACCACTAAGGGCCTGGCGTGGATCAGTTCGATCTCCTTGCGATCGGCCTTCTCCTTCCTCATGAGAGCCGGTGGGATGGCGCCTCCCACTCGGCTGCCGCTCGTTCCGCTGAAGGCCGCAAGGCTGCGGGCCAGCACCTGAGCTGGGCTGAGCTCTGGTAGAGCAGCGCCAAGCACGGAAGCTCTGTCGCCGCGGCACGATGATGGGAAAGAACCATCCGGAAGGCGCCAGAGCCGCTGCCAGCTGGACGAACTCCGAACAGCGACCCAACACCTGAGCGGTCTGAGTGTCACTTCAAGGGGTAACATCAGACATACCGAGATGATCAGCAGAACTCGAAAGGTATTCCGTGGAGGTAGCAGTGGGGTCCACAGGGTCATAGTGGGTCTCTGGGGTCTCTGAGCTCAACACCCCGGAGTAGATGAACCAGCGCTTCTTGCTGTAGTCCAAGCTTTGTGTCCTTGGAACGGCATAACTCATGACCCTCACGAGTCTCACTGCCTCACTGCCTGCTCTTGACACAAGATTCTACTGTAGCAAGGCTCACAGCAGGAAGGCCCAAGAGAAGACCCATGACGCAGTCAATCGTAGTCATGAAGATGTCGATCAGCACGGCTGTGACAGGCGAGCTCTGGGCATTGCCCACGCCGTAGACTTGGCCCCAAAAGAGCATGTTAATGACAACCTGCTTGGGGTAGCCGATGAGAACCTCAGGCTGTCGCAGGCTGTCGCAGGCAGAGGCGAGGAGGGGAGGTGGGAGGTGGGAGTCCGAGCCTGCAGCAGCGCCCAGGCCCGAAACCGGCTGTAGGACGCCACCACCTCGGCCACTCACCGCTCTCAGATCTCTCCCTATCTGCCATGACAGAACTCTGACATGGCGGCCAGGCGGCGGTGCTGGGAAAGCCCTTGGGGAGGAACATCTGGCGCAAGAAGCCGCCCGGCTTCGCCTCTTTGCAAGCTCCGTCTAAGCACTCTTCAGCTGTTTTGGCGCCTCTCCCGCTATCGCGGGGTGCGGCGCGGCCGCGGGGGCGATGTCAAGCTGCCGCACGGCCTGGACGTTGCCAAGCCTGGGCTCACAATCGCAGCTTGATGCAGCTTGAAACTCACGGCACAAACGACATCCTGCTACTAGTACTGCGTTTGTGTCCAAGGAGCAGGTGGACGACGGAGAGGACGGCGAACCACCGCAAGCTGGCTTCCAGTGATTCTTGCTCGGCCTGCCAGAGTTGGCTTCCTCTCACGGACCCTCCTTCTCCCTCTTTCTTTGCCATGGCGGGGGTCCGGGCCAACAAGGCAAGTTGCTTGAAATTCGATTCCCCAGGCCCGCGCGCCTCTGCACCGCTGCCGATGCCAATGGCCCCGAGCAGAAGGCCCATGCCAATGAAGAGGCCAAAAATCTTGCCGCCACGGTCCTTGGGAGTGAGGGGCTCAAAGTGTTCTCGCTGGCTCCTTCGTCTTTCTGAACCTGGTTGCTCTCTTTCAGCGATATGTCGCCGAAGTCCGGGTCCCGTCCTTCTGGATATCGACAACTGGGCCCACACACACAGCCGGAACCTCCCAGCTGGTCCTGGAGGCAGGCGGCCTCCCTTGGCGAAGTGCTGCAAGATCACCGACCGCACCGCCCCCGACATCGTGCCCGCCACCAGGCAAAGGGCCTGAGAAGCGAAAATGAAGCCAAGCCAGCCGGGGGCGCACGGCGCGATGCTCGGCACTTCGCAAGACGCTTCTTGTGGCCAAGCAGGGCACAGGTCCCAGGTAGAGGAAAGCGATGATCCCGGAGAAGATGGCGGCCAAGATCTCCTGGCGGAGGTGACGCGGTGCGACGCGGTGCGACGCGGACCGGCAGTGCTCTTCCAAGCACAGGAGAGAAGAGAGTTCCAACGGGCTCCACGAAGTGCCCCACGGCGTTCACCACCTCCGCGGACATCCGAAAGCTCCGTGGAGCCGAGCCTCGGAGCCGCGACGCTCGCGACGCTCGCGTCAGCGTCTCGTGCGAGCGGCGGTAGCGGTCCGTGAAGGCCGGCGTTGCCACCTCGAGAGGGCAAGGCAAAGCGCGGGGGACGCATGCCATGAGACGCTGAGGCGCCTGCTCCCATGCCGATCACCGTCGCCAAGAGATCCCTTCCCATTTGCAGTGCGGTTGCCTCTGCCGGGGTCTTGTTGGGGTCCCCAACGCCGTGGAACTTCATCACTGCCTCACACACAATTCAGGCCACATCCCGTTGTCACCAACCACAGATCACAGCAGAGGTGGCAAAGGCGGAGGCGCCTGCTTGCTGATCACCTAAACTCGCAAAGAAGCCAGCGGGGGGGGGGGGGGGAAAAGCAAGGTGAATGGAGGCACCCCGCAGACCGCTGCTGCAGACAAGCCACGGTGTTCACGAAGAAGGTCACCTGCGCGCGCTCATGCCATGGCTCTCAAAGCTTACAAGGGGGCCCGGCCCGCACCTGCTGGATGGTGTCCCAGAGCTGGTAGCGGCCATACTCGGGCGCCACGGAGCTTGGCCAGCCCTCGGGGGCAAAGACCGCCAGGAAGTAGGCCCGAGCCGCCATGGCGTGCGCCGACGGCTGGGGCTCGTGAGCTGGCTTGCAGTAAACTTCCGAAACTAACACGGTAAGGAGGCTTGCCATGGAATCCCATCAGAAACATGGGCTCAGCGACCCTGGGGCTCAAAGCCATTGCGGCTCACTGGCAGATGGCACTTGCACACGGCACTGACACGCGCACCAATCGGTAAGGGGCCCCACCGTTGACAAGCACGTGCATCGGAAAGTCACCGGCAGAGACCGGGTTGATGGTGGCCGTGTAGTTGCCACCTTCCCAATGCATTAACGGTCCGCTTTGCAGCGGCTTCTGGGCAGCGGCTTAGGGGCAGTCCTCCGAGATAGCTGAAGGACAGCGGCACTGCGGGGGTGGAGCCCATGTAGCCCGTGATCGCCGAGGTCCTCCAAGGAAGGGAGCTCGGGAGCGCTCCAGCGCGAAAGCGCGTGCACTGAGGGCCCCGCGTGTCCGTGGACCTCGGGTTGTCTTCGGCGTCCCGGGTGTGAACGATGAAGGTGTTGTCCTCCGCACCGAGTGCGACAGAATGCGGGGGCGATCGTGTTGTTGCCAAGCGTTTTTTTCAGCAGACTTCGGTTCGGGACCTGGCCAGCGATGACCGTGGACAGAGAAGCCTTGGACTCCGCAGGAGCTCGTGACCAGAGATCTTCCCTCATTTGCCTCGGAGGGGCCCCAGAGGCCACGGACGTTTCGGCGGCTTCTTGCGGCCTGATTCTGATTTGCTCACGAGCTTCTCACAAGTCACTGGACCAGAAACCTCTCTTTCTGGGGCCCCCGGACACCACCACCGTTGTAGTGTCGAGAGCCAAGACCTTTCCAGCGATTCCTAGAGGGTCCGTCCTTTCAAGAAGGATCCTGTTTTACCTTGAGCTTAAGGCGGAGGCTCTTGAAGCCTAAACCCTCGTCGACCCCATAAGCCCTAAACCCTAAAACCCTATGACCCCAAAAAACCCCTACGTTGCTTGTCTTTCCGTCAAGGGCCCGGCATTCAGTGGGTGGAGCAGGTTGTTGCTGGGCACCAGCTCGTCTTCGAAGTCCGTGGCGGCCTTAGCTTGGAGCCCAGGTATAGCTTCACAACCCTAAAGCTTGCCCTGTAGCCTGAAGCCATCTGAAGCCTCTGAAGCCCCCTTGAAGCCCCAAGAGCCCTACAAGTACAAGTTTTACCCTGAACCGTGCTTGTCGCGGGTAAGTCCTTTCTTCGAAGGCTCCGGGCGCCCGGCCCAGTAGAGTCGGACATAGGCCGTCCCGGCCTTGGAATCCACAGAGAGCTCAAGGGCGGCTGTAGGATGTTTGGCGGTTTAAGAAGCACGTGCTAGTGTGTGTCTGTGGGTGTGTACGCCATGAACTACGGAACTGCGACACCGCGATCCCTGCAGCTCCTCCGATGCGCTACTCCAGTGTCCTTTGAATGCTGGGGCCTTTGGGACTGCTCTGTTGCAGGCATGCCTACAAGGGCTGGAGTATCTAAAGCGCTGACAGTTGCAGTCTTTGGGCCACCGGCGGAGTGCTTGTACTGAATCTCCAGATAAACCGGCACATGGTTCGTCAAGGTCACCTCGCACTCGAAACGGCGAGAAAAAGCGAGAACATCCTGCATCCTTCTGCTGACAAGTCCCCGGTGACACTACATGCATCTGTCCACATTGTCAAATTGTGTTTCCTATATGTGCACAAGATGTAAAGACTCGACAAGCGCATCGTAAGAGATCTCCTTGTACCTGCTGAGGCAATGACACTCTGTTACATGTGTGGCTGAACCGTCGGAAGTCCGGATCACAAGTCTACACAATACTACGACGGACTGGGAGGCGAAGTTGTGCCCCTCGGACCCGACACGTTGGCCAGGTCCACTCGCACGACATTCCCGTGCGCACGACTAGCCCAACAGTCATGAAGATTGCTTACAGACGAACACAACGTAACCATGGCACAGGTACAATCAGATCGCACAAACCTGTGCAAGCACGCGTGCACCACACTCTGCCACACTGCAATCGTGCGATGCTGTATTCTTGCAGCATGGCCGGTGTAGTCGCACAAACATACACACGTACATTCGTACATGCATGCCTACATGCATGCATACATGCATGCTACATACATACATACATACATACCTACCTACCTACCTACCTACCTACCTACCTACCTACCTACGTACAGACA